AAGAGCGGTCCCTGGCCTCCTCTGCAGATACTCAATCAAATTGCAGCTGTCGTGGTTTGCATTTGTTGTGGTGCTTTTCCTCAGATAAATTTAGCTCTAAAATAAAGCTCTAAATCCCATAACCCAAGGCGTGGACAATTTGAGCTGTTTGTTGCTCGGAGCAAATATGAAAATGGCTGAAGTACAGCTCCGTGCGTGCGCATACACACGCAGAGGCAAACAAATATATTCATAATAAAAACACAACCAAGTAGGCGAGATTCAGCTGAAAGGATCTGCCAGTTCTTGCAATAGCAATGTTAAATGATGCTCCCTTTTTGAATCCAGTATTACAAGGAAAGACCAGTTTGAAATTGAATTTGACTGTGGACACAGGAGAGGAGGGCAATTTGAAACATGTTGAGTTATTATGCCAAATTGAACCAAGAGGCAGCAGAATGAATTCATTGGTATATACTTCAATTTGTGTTTAAAACGTATGCAGTACTGGAAAATAGCTCGTTTCCTTGTGTCCTTTATGTTCTCCAAGCTTTCCTTAGACTATATGTATATGTGTGTATGTATATATGTATATATTTATGCATTTTTTTTCAGTCGTGGGCTTAATTGATTGTTGGTGAAAGATGCGAGTTGTGTTCTCCACTTCCTTTAAACAGAAGGACTTTTTAATATGTATTTCTTACACTCAGAATCAGTTGGAAGATAAACACAAGAATTATTTGAGTAGGTATGAACCTGTTTAAATTTGGGCCTGTGCACATGCCTAAAAATTAAGCCTTTTCAGAACCTCATAAAAACAGTGAGATACGACAGAGGGTTAAATACTGTGGTTCATCCTGAAAAGTCTGTAAATGCCTAGTATTTTTCAGTAAAGATTGTTCTACTGACCTTCCCTCCTGCCCTTTAAAAAGTTTAGGATGCACCCATTCACTGGGTTTCTGAAGGGTAGCCTTGTGGCATGAGTATGTCTTGCTGGTGTTTGCAAAGGTATAGGCTCTGCAATCTCAGTGTCCCTTTTGGAGAGCAGACAGTTATTAATATTGTATTTAGGTCTCATTAATTATTTGCTGCCTATGTAAAGCACTCTCCAATTATACCACCAGGTACCTGTTGTTAAGCTACATTTATCTTTGCATTCGTTGTGCTTTTTCTGTAGCAAATTACCTTGAGTCCCTCAGAGTTGCCATTTCTTCCTTGATACCTGATGTTTTACAGTCTCCTGTCCTGATTTTTCCCAAACATTGTAAGTAATAGGTACTCCTCAACTTTCTGTTCTTCTCCTTGACTGTGTGACCATAGCTGCAACAGTAAAAACAAAATAAAAAAAACAAAAAAAAACCCCAATGGGACATGCAGTTTCAGGAAGACTGTTTATTTTTTAGGGGAATCTTTATTTTCTAATACATTAACTGCAATGCTGTTGTAATAAATTTTGTTCTCTTTCCCCATAGGATTTGCAAATAGAACGAGAGAGGACCGTGTACAATATTTCTGGTGGCTGCACAGCCCTCGTGGTGGTGTATTTATTGGGGAAACTTTACGTGGCAAATGCTGGTGATAGCAGGTGAGTGTGGTGTCTCCCCACCAGTTCCTTCATCCCCCAGAGCTGATGTTATAAAGTCCCTTAGTTACATGCTGTGTCACTAGAGAGTTCTGTTTCTTGACTGGACATTAGAGAGTCCACACAGAAATTAATGCAAATGGCAGTGATAGGCTTTCCAGTATCTTGTCAAGTGGTGGTTGCAGTCAGGGAGATTGATGACACTTTTGGCTCCGTAGCAGTTTCTGAACGACTCGATGGTTGCAGGAAAGTGGAAAGACACTTAAGAACCATTGAAACAGATGTTGGGTGTGTAGTAGAATTTTGTGTTAACACTAACAAGGTGACTGCATCTGGAACAGCTAGCAGAGCTAGACTGGTTAAGTAGAAAGTCCTGTCACTCCTGTCCTCAGCCTTAGTCTTGGAAGGCCACCTGGCTCTCTGTTTTTTGTGTAATTGAAGGTAATAATCTGTAAGCAAATAACTGCTACTCCTGTAACAGGAAGGAGGGGAGGGAGAGAGGCTATCACAGGTTAAGATTTTTACTGAGTCCTGTTCTAGCTTATGTATTTCTTCATTTCTCAAAGCTGAATGTTGTCATTCAGGAGTTGTTGCTGTGTTATATTTAGAAATGGGATGCTTGAAGACTTGTGATGAGAAGCTATTTCTTTGTCTTTGGATTTAGCTAAAGCTTGGAGCATACTGGAAGTCTCTCACTTGCATTCTTTTCCTTTCTCTCACTCTGCCCATACCACCATCAGAGAGAGATGAGGCAGTTCTTGCAAGACTTTAGACCTTCATGTGTTTGTTTTGGCCAGGGAGAATAGTTCCCCACATGATACGGACTGCTGTTGTGTCTGTTCAGCTGAGGAACTATTTACCTGAAGACCTGGCTAACTGGAGAGGTCCCAATGGACTGGAGGGTAGCAAATGTAACACCCATCTATAAGAAAGGCAGAAAGGAGGATCCAGGAAACTACAGATCTGTCAGTCTGACCTTGGTACCAGGGAAGGTTATGGAGCAGATCATCTTGAGTGTTATTAGAAGACATATAGAGGATAACCAGGGGGTCAGGCCCAGTCAGCATGGGTTTATGAAAGGCAGGTCCTGCCTGACAAACCTCATCTCCTTTTATGACCTGATGACCTGACTATTGGATGAAGGAAAGGCTGTGGATATTATCTATCTGGACCTCCAAAAAGCATTTGACACTGTTCCCCATAGAACTCTCATAAAAAAACCTGGCTGCTCTGGCCTGGATGAGCACATGATCTGTTGGATCAAGCACTGGCTGGACAGTCGGGCCCAAAGAGTGGTGGTCAGTGGAGTCAAATCCATCTGGGGCCAGTCACAAGTGGTGTTCCTCAGGGCTCAGTGTTGGGACCATTTCTGTTTGACATCTTTACTGATGATCTTGATAAGGACATAGAGTTTATTATCAGTAAGTTTGCAGATGACACCAAGCCAGGCAGGAGTGTTGATCTGCATGAGGATAGGGAGGCTCTACAGAGAGACTTGGATAGATTATATTCTTGGGCTGATGTTAACAATCTGAGCTTCAACAAGGCCAAGTGCTGGGTCCTGCACTTGGGCCACAACAACCCCAGGCAACACTACAGGCCTGGGGAAGTGTGGCTGGAAAGTGTCTGGCAGAAAAGGACCTAGGGGTTCTAACTGACAAGCAGTTGAATATGAGCCAGCAGTGTGCCCAGGTGGCCAAGAAAGCCAATTGCATCCTGGCTTGTATTTGAAATAGTGTGACCAGCAGAAGTAGGGAGGTGATTGTCCCCCTGTACTCAGCACTGGTGAGGCCACACCTGGAGTGTTGTGTCCAGTTTTGGGCACCTCAATTCAAGAGAGATACTGAGGTGCTGGAGCGAGTACAGAGGAGGGCAACAAAGGTGGTGAAGGGCCTAGAGAATAAATCTTATGAAGAACGCTTGAAGGAGCTGGGAATGTTTAGTTTGAGAAAGATGAGGCTGAGACCTCTTCAGTCTCTACAACTACCTGAAAGGTTATTGTAGAGAGGTCAGTGCTGGTCTCTTTTCAAAGGTAATTAGCTACAGAACAAGAGGGAATGGCTTCAAGCTGCAACAGGGTAGGTTTAGACTGGACATTAGGAACAATTTTTTCACAGAAAGAGTGGTTAGACACTGGAATAGGCTGCCCGGGGAAGTGGTTGAGTCACCATCCGTGGATGTGTTTAAGGGTCGTTTGGATGTGGTGTTGGTGGATATAGTTTAGGGGAGAACTTTGTAGAGTAGGGATGATGGTTGGACTTTGTGATCCCAAGGATCTTTTCCAACCTGAATAGTTCTATGATTCTATTAACTGAAGTCTGCAAAGGTACAGAACCATGTTGTCTTTAGGTAAAGACTGCTATGGTTATACATTTGTGTTTGAGGTTTGTGCATACACAGTTCATGTTTGTACTGTGTGTGCAGTGTATATACAGAGGCAGAAGTCAACTGCAAAATACTTCGTAGTTTAAGCTTAACATTTTTATTGCCTTTTGCTGCTTTAAACTGTGTAGGAAGTCAGATAAATCCTTTATGCATAAAGCTCCTATTCTTTTCATGTTGGTGATTATTCTTAATATGCTAAATTTGCTGTTTATGTTGCAGATTGCTCGCTCAGTTCCTCAACAAGTGACTTAGTTGAATCTTTTTGGCATCAAAAGTCAAATGAGTCCTCACAGAGGGTAACTGCAAACATGTTTGAGTAGAGCACCTGTTCTGTCATCAGAACCACTAGCTGCAGTAAATTTTAGCTCTTTTGCCATTAAATTAGAAATAATAATATTGTGCTATTATACTGTAAGTAGAGTCTCTTCCATTGGGTTGGCCAAATTGCTTTCTTGTCTTTTAAAAGCGTGCTGTGCAAAGTTGACCATTCAGGATCTACTTGTGAGTAGTTGAGAATGTTGTTCTTAAATGACTGGCTCCTTCCAGTTCCCCCAGGATTCCGCCTCCACTTCTCAAAAGCTCTGTTGCAGCCTCTGACATCCAACGGGAAGAAACGTGTTGGTGATCTTGAATTAGCCCTAGTGTCCATTGTAGTTAAAGCCACTAAGTCTTCAATAGGGTTTCAGTATTCATCAAGCCCATCAAAAACATCTCTTCAGAAAAGCAGGAAGAGCAGAAATTAGAAGGGAAGCCAATGGCAAGGCTGGGCCTTATTTGAACTAGGACTCAATTTTTTTTACTCATTCCTAGAATCTTGTAGGTACCAAGGTCCTTCCAGATCCACAGAAGTTTGATTTTGCACTTGCCAAAATGGACCTCATGGAAACTGTCTGCGTGCTGAAGATAACTCTCTGCATTCTCAAAATCTTTAACTTTGAAATAAGCCTACTTCCAGAGTTCTGTAGCTCAATAAACTAAAAGCTTTAAAGCATAGACCATTAGTTGATCTGTCTCTTATACGAAAATCCCACTTTCCATGTTTCAGAAGGGAAAGGCTGTTTCAAAACATCTGTGTTGCTCTTCATCACTAAAAGAACACTGTAAGACTAGAAAAGCAGCTCTGAGGTTGTTCACCTACTGCCAGGGTGCACAGTGTGTTCCTGTATTTTTAAGAGCCTGGTCACGTAGCCAAGAAGTTTTATTTGTGTTAGCTGGAAAAATATGTTCTCTTTTGCTGTCTCATGCCTTGCATGGTAAGCTTTGCTGTTTGTACAGATATAAATGAGGGTGGTAAGGAAAACAATAAGGGAACTAGTTAAAAAATGTTTGTCTGGTCTTGCGAAGAAGGGCGGGGTTTGTTTTTTCACCCAAAAAGAGGACTTGTGCTTGTTGCTGTTGGCAGTAGATGCCAAAATGCTCAGTTCTTCAGTGGAGTTTTAGTTTCTTTGAGTTAAGCAACACATTTGTGCCTCTTCTGTCCTCATTCTCCCTTCTCCTGTCTTCATTCCCCCACTGGAAAAAGCCTATAAACAATACAAGCTACATTTCCCACAGACAAGAGGCTGTGAGAGGAGGTTTTGTGCTGGAGGGGTGGCAAATAAGTATGTTGGGTTCATGCAAACCTCATTTGTACTGCCTCTGCCCAGAAGTTTGTCTTTCAATTCCAGGCAACTTCAAAGCAGCAGAAGCTCTTAAAGGTGGGTTTTGAACAGCTTCTGCTGTCATGGGACCAAGTTACTTGCAACAAATTGTTACTATCACAATGAGACTAAGGAATCACCTCGGTGTGAGACTTGAATAATAATGTCCTATGCGGTGCCAGCTATACCTCAGACTTACGTCTGTGGTATTCAGTTTAACCACCAAAGCTTCTCAAATCTAATCATTTCATGCCACGTACCCTGGCAGTGTTGTATAGCAGCTGTCCTTTTGTAGTTGATGTGTAATTACATCATGAAAAGACTTTAATTACCATATTACTAAATTACCAGCCAGCAAGCCTTTCAGGTTCAGCCCTCACTTACTTCTGGATGGACTATTAGGCTTCTCCAAGCTGAACGCGTTTGGTTGGTGTAAAAGGGAGGAAAAATTGTGCTAATTGTAGGTTTTGTTATGAGCTATTATTGAGCTTGATGTTATGGCATCACTAATGTCAATGATATAATTAAACTTCTGCTAACGATGAATAGTTCTGTAATAATTATATGTTAACTGCACATGATACCAGAACCCTACTAAAAATGAGGTGATGTATTCAGAGGCTGCTAAAAACAACGTGGAGGGAGCCGCTTTCATTCTCTAATGGCTTGTCTGATCATTCTTGAACTCTGTCATAAATATACCTACTTGTGCAGTTAAAATTCATGTCTGAATATTGGACAAAGCTTTTTCTAATGCTTCTCTCGCTCCTTCTTCCCCTCAGTGGTTAAGATTGTCTATACAAGGTTGTATAATTTGGGACTCATAGTGCTGTAGTCAGCTGTCCAATATATAGTGCTTTTCTGGAGGGTGTTGATGTGCTGTGCTTTGCCTACCAGTGTGACATAAACACTATTATAACTAGGCCAGGCCTGCTGAATAGCTCTTTTTTTTTTTCTGTTTTTTTAAATCAGGAATAG